GGTCGCTGCGAAAGTATCGGAGCCCCTCAGGGACCCAAATAAATGGGCAACCATTGCTAAATAGTTTACGCCATTACCGGGGATCCGGGCCAGGATACCCTTGTTACCACTACAGCGGGTTGTACAGCGGCCTACAATGGTTATGGGAGTAACCCTTTCATTCCCTAAACTCCAACCCAAGCCGGCAAAAATCCAGAAAGTAAAATTTCAGCAAAAACCAGGCTTTAGCAGAGCGTTTCAGCTTTTCAGTATAAACGTTGCCATTTGGATATCTGGGGCTCTCATGAATAAACCCTTTGTGTCTCGCGTTGCCAGTTTACATCAGATCGCTCATTATGCACACTAATTGCAGCACCTAGGAACACCTTATTAAATCAGAGCTTTACATTTATAGACCGTACATGTTCTAATGATGTCTTCTATTGAACATTGCCACCTTGGGCTGTAATGATCTTAATTAGTCATTTCATTTGATTACAAAGCAACCTTTATGTCTGGAGTCAAATCGCCATAAAGTTTTTCACTAATTAATTCCAATTGTTTTTATTTCACCCACCGTATATCATCTCCCAGGGCCCCCTGATCCTGTTTAGATTGGGGTAAACTGAACTGAATGGTCCAGCAATGACTAGAGCAAACTTGGAGACTTCTTATCAAATCAGTACTTTACGTTAAAAATCCACAATGCGGTTTTCATTTCACTATAATTGTTTTTTAGTTAATAAAAAGTGCACAAGCCAATCACATAAAAACTGTCACTATTTTTAATTTGATAAAAGGATTTGCTGCTGCATATAATATTGCATTTATTTTCTAAATGATCAAGAGATTTAAAGTGTTAAGCCAACCACCCTGACCACTTCTGCTTTTAGAAGTAATCTTGACGGTATAGTCTGTATGTGAAGTGTTTCTACTTAAAGGACCACTATAGTGCCAGGAAAACATACTCGTTTTCCTGGCACTATAGTGCCCTGAGGGTTCCCCCACCCTCAGGGACCCCCTCCCGCCGGGCTCTGGAAAGGGGAAAGGGGTTTAAACTTACCTTTTTCCAGCGCTGGGCGGAGAGCTCTCCTCCTTCTCTCCTCCTCCGTTCCGCCCCGTCGGCTGAATGCGCACGCGCGCATTCAGCCGGTCGCATAGGAAAGCATTTACAATGCTTTCCTATGGACGCTGGCGTGCTCTCACTGTGAAAATCACAGTGAGAAGCACGCAAGCGCCTCTAGTGGCGGTCAATGAGACAGCCACTAGAGGATTAGAGGGAAGGCTTAACCCATTCATAAACATAGCAGTTTCTCTGAAACTGCTATGTTTATTAAAAAATGGGTTAACCCTAGAAGGACCAGGTACCCAGACCACTTCATTAAGCTGAACATCCAGAGATATTGGCAGTTGTTTGCTGGACGCTAGTTACTCTTGCAGCCCAGAAATCTGTTCCCGGATTGTCAAATATCAATTCTGTGCAAAATTCAGCATGCTGGTCACAGGAATCTTGAGTCGTCCTCCCTCTTCCAATAGCCTCCACTAATGTATTTTTCCCTGCCGTCCCTCCTCTCTCCCCTCTCTCCCCCTTTCCCTTATTTTTTCTGGCTCAGAGTGTGCGCATGTTCTCTACGAGAAGTCTGTAATGCGGGGGGCATTGTGAGCAGCACTGGGAGCTTTGCCCCACACTGGATCCAAGTTTAGGAAAACTATATTTTTATAAAATGTTTTGTTTTAGCATTTGGAGGGGTTGATCAAAAGAATAATGCCCCATTATTTGTAAAAAAAAAAAAAAAAAAGGGTTGTAGTAACCTTTTAAAGGAACACTTGAAGCACCATTGCAGCGCACTGTAGTGGTTTCGGTGAGAGTAGTGCCCTGGCACAGCTCCACTGAAAATAGTCAACCTGTTTTTTAATAGTTTGACTTATTACCTTGGCTCTGCTCCCCGCCTCCACTACCTGCTTAGGAACTGCCGTTAGCTGTGCCGAGCTGAGCCCTGCGGGCTGCCTCATTGGCTGTGAGCGTTAGCGGATCACAATGAAAAAATAATGTGCAAAAATATTTTTGATCATTTTTAACCTTCAGCTGTTTAATGTAAAAGGAAACAGACTGTTATTTCCCGTGTATTACCAGGCACTGATCCTGATTTCTGACGCACACACACATTGCTAGTCCCATTTCTCACTTAAATGTTTTGTCTAAATATTTCTGGGACATTTTTACAAAGCATTATCTACATAACAGACTCTGTGTGGTTTGAAGTGACGCTGCAACGCACACCTTAAAATCGCTGTCTTCCTCTAGATCTGCTGTGAACAGTGCTGGCAATATGCGGAGAGGAATTCTTCCCTTTATAAAGTGCCAGCGCGTCACATGCGCTTGACAGGTGCATGTTAATATCTGTATTCAGTATACAGCTTGCTGGACACAGGACCTGCCACCTCGATGCACCCCCACATTCAATGTGTGAGTCGGCCGTTCTCTGAATACTCCGAAACATTCCCTGCTGCAGAGTCTTATCTTTCCTGGGTGCAGCGACAAGTATATTTGGGAAACTATTTTTGTTACAGCAGGGCCAGCTGTCCCCAAGCAGTATATAGCGCTGAAATATGGGCCACCTGGCATGGAGATAATGCCAGGATTTATAGTTTCTGCACCCCTAGGTATAGGACATCCTGGAACCAGTAATCGTGACGCCACAAATCACCTTCCTTAATGAGAGGACGTCAATGGTGCAAACCAGCTAGACTCATAGTGCTTACTGTCTAAATGACGGTTTTGCAGAATAGGCCGCGATTGGCTGGAAAGACAGCGTTGAAAGTGGGCAATTCTACTGATTGGCCATGTTTGACTTAAACAGGATTTTACAAAGTCACGACAGAAAGTCATAATTTTATTACAGACATCGAGGCGAGTCTTATCCCTCGCTAATTTTTGGAAATGGTTTTCCCAGCCTTTCGGGATTCCTGTAGATTTTCTGTATTACATATTCACCTATTATTATAACATTACCAGATCTTTTGTTCTGTTTGCTGCGTTCCAGTGAAATATTGTCTGTTTGACCGTTCTTTACCTTCCTGGCCGTCTGTGGGAGGTGAGTTGCCCAATGCTCTGCGTTTTATAACTTATGCTGACTATTGATTGGATGGTAGGGATTGATGTCGTTATTATGTTCCTCTTACCCGGCTATATCCTTGATTCATTTGTATTCTAGAATTTTCTGCTACTCTCCTCTGTGTCGTTAAAGGAACCCTATAGCATAAGAAATACAAACCCTTTATTCAATTAGGGACCCGAATGCGCCTGGAAGAAAGGCGCTAAAGGTGGACTTAAAGGGACACTATAGTCACCAGAACAACTACAGCTTATTGAATTTGTTATGGTGAGTAGAATCATTCCCTTCAGGCTTTTTTGCAGTAAACACTGTCTTTTCAGAGAAAATGGGAAAGCATGATGATGTCAGCCAAAGAGGCAGATCAGGGGCAGAGCCAGCATTAGCAGACTGGAATAAAGGTAAAATGCAAGGGGGTGGGGGGTGGGAGCTCGAGGGACAGAGGGGCTAGATGTTGGTTTTAACACTATAAGGTCAGGAATACATATTGGGGTTCCTAACTCTAATATTCCTTTAACCCTGGAATTTAATCATTGCAGTTTCTCAAAAAGCAATATATCACAATACAGGGTTAAACAACATGCACTCAGACCACTTCAATGAGCTGAAATGGTCTGGGTGCCTATAGCAAGGCTCGACAAATCTCGGGGATTTGTCGGCTGACTGTTATTGGAGGCGGGCAGCTGACAGAATGGATGCAGGCAGAGCGGGCAGGTGGGTGGGCAGGGAGGGAGCTGTAATCTCTCTGCTCTGCTCCCTCCCACGCCCTCTAGTGATGCCGGGACTCGGAATATGATGTCACTCCAGCTCCTACATTACTAAACAGCGGTGTATATCTGTCGGTGTATGTCAAATCAGCGAATGTGTGTGTCTGTCTGTGAGTGTGTGTGTCTGTGAATGTATGTCAAATCAGTGAGTGTGTGTGTCACTGGGTGTTTGTCAGTGAGTGTGTGTGTGTTTGTCTGTCAGCGTGTGCCAGTCAGTGCGTGTGTGTGTTTGTCGGTGTATGTCAAATCAGCGAGTGTGTCTGTCTGTCAGTGTGTGTCTGTCTGTGAGTGTGTGTGTGTTTGTCTGTCAGAGTGTGCCAGTCAGTGCGTGTGTGTGTCTGTGGGTGTATGTCAAATCAGTGAGTGTGTGTGTCTGTCACTGTGTGTCTGTCTGTGAGTGTGTGTGTCTGTCAGTGTATGTCAAATCAGTGAGTGTGTCACTGTGTGTTTGTCAGTGTGTGTCTGTCAAATCAGTGAGTGTGTGTGTTTCACTCTGTGTTTGTCAGTGAGTGTATGTCAAATCAGCGAGTGTTTGTGTCTCTCACTGTGTGTCTGTCTGTGAGTGTGTGTGCGTCTGTCAGTGTATGTCAAATCAGTGAGTGAGTGTCTGTTTAGGTGAACGGCCCACCCAATCACATGGGAACGGGAGTTTTTGCTCACCTTTTTTCCCCATTCTGTGCTGGTTTTGCCGCAGCTGATCCTGCCCTGGAAAGTATTGTGAGACTATTGTGCATGTGTGGCAAAACGCCAAGCTGCGCCAATCAGCATCTCCTCATAGACATGCATTGAATCAATGCATCTCTATGGGGGATGTTCAGCGCCTCCATGCAGAGGGTGGAGATGCTGAATGTGGGTGCTGCACACTGTGCAGCACTGACCTAGGGTGCACCTCCTGAGTCACTGCCATTAGAGGTGTTACTAGGCAACAATGTAAACACTGCCTTTTCTCTGACACCAGAACAACTACACTAAAGGGATGCTATAGTGCCAGGAATATAATGCTGTATTCCTGGCACTATCACTCTCCCTGCCTCCCCCATGCCTTTCTCCCCCGCTCCCTGTTAAATAAAGGGTTAAAAACCTTTTAATTTCTTAACTTTTCCCTCTGCACTAGGTTGATGGTTCCCCTCCTCCAATGGCTCGCGATGAGCGGGCAATAATGCGCATGCGCGGTAAATGCCGCTCGCGCATTAGACCTCCTTATAGGAAAGCATTGAATCCGTGCTTTCCTATGGAGAAAAATCAGACGCTGGCTGTCCTCATGCAGAGCGTGAGGACGTCCAGCATCAGATACCAGACCAAAGGTCCGTTTTGGTTCAGGAAGCCCTCTAGTGGCTGTATGGTAGACAGCCTCTGTGGGCAGACTTAGAGCTGCAATGTAAGCATCTGGAACTCAATGTTTTACATTGCAGCACTAAGTGCAATTGGGATACTGCACCCAGACCTCTTCAATGAGCTGAAGTGGTCTGGGTGCATACAGTGTCTCTTTAAGCAATATACTTTACATTAGCTGTAGTGGTTCTAGTGACTATAGTGTCCTTTTTAAGAATTATATTTTTGACATTGAAAAACCTGGCTCCTAGCTTTTTTTGCTGGCTCCTAGATTCGAAGCAAACTTGTGAAGCCCTGGCCTATAAGGTCTTTTTAATAAAATCTTTCACATGTAACTGCTTCTATTAATGCAGAGAATATTCTGAAACTCACCAAATGACCCCTTAGCCTTTCTTAAACTGGCTTCAGCTGGGAGCCTGGAACACAGACCATGTGGACATCTGTGGCTAATTGCTGACATTATAGAAAAGGCTGGAGAAATGAACAAAGTGGTGTTTATTTCAGAGTATCATTGCTGTGGAGCTCTGTGATTGCCGACAGTGAGCTCTGTGGTTGCTGTGGAGCTCTGTGATTGCTGGCAGTGAGCTCTGTGGTTGCTGACACTGAGCGCTGTGATTGCTGGGGAGCTCTGTGATGGCTGTGGAGCGCTGTGATTGCTGGCACTGAGCGCTGTGATTGCTGGGGAGCTCTGTGGTTGCTGACAGTGAGCTCTGTGGTTGCTGGGGAGCTCTGTGGTTGCTGACACTGAGCTCTGTGATTGCTGGGGAGCTCTGTGGTTGCTGACAGTGAGCTCTGTGGTTGCTGACAGTGAGCTCTGTGATGGCTGTGGAGCTCTGTGATTGCTGACACTGAGCTCTATGCTGGCTGGGGAGCTCTGTGATTGCTGACGTGGAGCTCTGTGATGGCTGTGGAGCTCTGTGATTGCTGACACTGAGCTCTGATGGCTGGGGAGCTCTGTGATGGCTGACACTGAGCTCTGTGATTGCTGGGGAGCTCTGTGATTGCTGTGGAGCTCTGTGATTGCTGACACTGAGCTCTGTGATGGCTGGGGAGCTCTGGTTGCTGTGGAGCTCTGTGATGGCTGACACTGAGCTCTGTGGCTGGGGGAGCTCTGTGATTGCTGACCCTGAGCTCTGTGATAGCAGTGGAGCTCTGTGATTGCTGTGGAGCTCTGTGATTGCTGACACTGAGCTCTGTGATGGCAGTGGAGCTCTGTGATGGCTGGGGGAGCTCTGTGATTGCTGACCCTGAGTTCTGTGATGGCAGTGGAGCTCTGTGATGGCTGACACTGAGCTCTGTGGTTGCTGGGGAGCTCTGTGATGGCTGACACTGAGCTCTGTGGTTGCTGGGGAGCTCTGTGATTGCTGACACTGAGCTCTGTGATGGCAGTGGAGCTCTGTGATGGCTGACCCTGAGCTCTGTGGTTGCTGTGGGAGCTCTGTGGGAGCTCTGTGATGGCAGTGGAGCTCTGTGATGGCAGTGGAGCTCTGTGATGGCAGTGGAGCTCTGTGATGGCTGACCCTGAGCTCTGTGGTTGCTGTGGGAGCTCTGTGGTTGCTGGGGGAGCTCTGTGATTGCTGGCAGGGGAGCTCTGTGATTGCTGACACTGAGCTCTGTGATTGATGGCACTGAGCTCTGTGATGGCTGGGGGAGCTCTGTGATTGATGGCACTGAGCTCTGTGGCGCTCTGTGATTGCTGACCCTGAGCTCTGTGATGGCAGTGGAGCTCTGTGATGGCTGGGGGAGCTCTGTGATTGCTGACCCTGAGTTCTGTGATGGCAATGGAGCTCTGTGATGGCTGACACTGAGCTCTGTGGTTGCTGGGGAGCTCTGTGATGGCTGACCCTGAGTTCTGTGGTTGCTGGGGAGCTCTGTGATTGCTGACACTGAGCTCTGTGATGGCAGTGGAGCTCTGTGATGGCTGACCCTGAGCTCTGTGGTTGCTGTGGGAGCTCTGTGATTGCTGGGGGAGCTCTGTGATTGCTGGCAGGGGAGCTCTGTGATTGCTGACACTGAGCTCTGTGATTGATGGCACTAAGCTCTGTGATGGCTGGGGGAGCTCTGTGATTGCTGACACTGAGCTCTGTGGCGCTCTGTGATTGCTGACCCTGAGCTCTGTGATGGCAGTGGAGCTCTGTGATGGCTGGGGGAGCTCTGTGATTGCTGACCCTGAGTTCTGTGATGGCAGTGGAGCTCTGTGATGGCTGACACTGAGCTCTGTGGTTGCTGGGGAGCTCTGTGATGGCTGACACTGAGCTCTGTGGTTGCTGGGGAGCTCTGTGATTGCTGACACTGAGCTCTGTGATGGCAGTGGAGCTCTGTGATGGCAGGGGAGCTCTGTGATTGCTGACCCTGAGCTCTGTGATTGCTGGGGGAGCTCTGTGATTGCTGACACTGAGCTCTGTGGCGCTCTGTGATTGCTGACCCTGAGCTCTGTGATTGCTGACACTGAGCTCTGTGGCGCTCTGTGATGGCTGGGGGAGCTCTGTGATTGCTGACCCTGAGTTCTGTGATGGCTGGGGGAGCTCTGTGATTGCTGACCCTGAGTTCTGTGATGGCAGTGGAGCTCTGTGATGGCTGACACTGAGCTCTGTGGTTGCTGGGGAGCTCTGTGATGGCTGACACTGAGCTCTGTGGTTGCTGGGGAGCTCTGTGATGGCAGTGGAGCTCTGTGATGGCAGTGGAGCTCTGTGATTGCTGGCACTGAAATCTGTGATGGCAGGGGAGCTCTGTGATGGCTGACCCTGAGCTCTGTGATGGCAGTGGAGCTCTGTGATGGCTGACCCTGAGCTCTGTGATGGCTGACCCTGAGCTCTGTGATGGCAGTGGAGCTCTGTGATTGCTAACAGTGAGCTCTGTGATGGTTGGGGGAGCTCTGTGGTTGCTGGCTGTGGAGCTCTGTGATTGCAGGGGGAGCTCTGTGATTGCTAACAGTGAGCTCTGTGTCAGTGGTGGTGATGTCACTGGCTGCAGTACAGCTGATGTCCAGCTGGTGGCAGCAGAGCGCGGTCCCTCCTCCCAGCCTGTGTCAGTCCGGGGCGGCCGAGCTGCTGCAGCTGATCCCAGGGAGGGACCCGGCCTGGACTGGGAGCGTTACCAAGGCAACCAGGCTGCAGGACCAGCATCCTCTCTGCTCCCAGGGGAACCAGAACTGGACCAGGTACCGACTGTGTGTAATACAGAGAGAGAGTGTGTGTAATACAGAGAGAGACTGTGTGTAATACAGAGACTGTGTGTAATACAGAGAGAGACTGTGTGTAATACAGGGAGAGAGTGTGTGTAATACAGAGACTGAGTGTAATACAGAGAGAGAGTGTGTGTAATACAGAGAGAGAGTGTGTGTAATACAGAGACTGTGTGTAATACAGGGAGAGAGTGTGTGTAATACAGGGAGAGACTGTGTGTAATACAGAGAGAGAGAGTGTGTGTAATACAGAGAGAGACTGTGTGTAATACAGAGAGAGACTGTGTGTAATACAGAGACTGTGTGTAATACAGGGAGAGAGTGTGTGTAATACAGAGACTGTGTGTAATACAGAGAGAGAGACTGTGTGTAATACAGAGAGACTGTGTGTAATACAGAGACTGTGTGTAATACAGAGAGAGAGTGTGTGTAATACAGAGACTGTGTGTAATACAGAGAGAGAGAGTGTGTGT